CGCCCAGAGCGGTCCCTGCAGCCGGAATGGCTGAGACCGCCCCCGCCGCAGCGCCCGCCGCCGCCCCGGCCCCCGCCGCCAAGGCCGCCGCCAAGAAGCCGAAGAAGGCGGCGGGCGCCGCCAAAGCCCGCAAACCCGCCGGCCCCAGCGTCACCGAGCTGATCACCAAGGCCGTCTCCGCCTCCAAGGAGCGCAAGGGGCTCTCCCTCGCCGCCCTCAAGAAGGCGCTGGCCGCCGGCGGCTACGATGTGGAGAAGAACAACAGCCGCATCAAGCTGGGGCTCAAGAGCCTGGTCAGCAAGGGCACCCTGGTGCAGACCAAGGGTATTGGTGCGTCTGGATCTTTCCGCCTCGGTAAGAAGTCCGGAGAAGTAGAGAAGGCACCTAAGAAGCGGGCGACCGCGGCCAAGCCTAAGAAGCCGGCGGCCAAGAAGCCCGCCAGCGCCGCCAAGAAGCCCAAGAAGGCGGTGACAGCGAAGAAGAGCCCCAAGAAAGCCAAGAAGCCGGCGGCCGCCGCGGCCAAGAAAGCGGCCAAGAGCCCCAAGAAGGCGACCAAGGCTGCCAAGCCCAAGAAGGCGGCAGCGGCCAAGAGCCCGGCGAAAGCGAAGGCGGTGAAGCCCAAAGCAGCCAAGCCCAAGGCGGCCAAGCCCAAAGCGGCCAAGGCGAAGAAGGCGGCGCCCAAGAAGAAGTAGACCCCCGGGGGAGAAAACTCTTGCTCCGCGCTTAAACCCAACGGCTCTTTTAAGAGCCACCCACCTTTTCTCAAAAAGAGATGAAACACTGTAGCTGCCACGCAGGTTGTGGATACAAGGGGGATGTTTTCAGGGGGAATGGCAGTCTGAGGGTGAGAGCACGTGCTTTTAGTTTGGGGACAGGCAGGAGAGGGTAAGAGCAGGAAACTTAAGGGTTGCTTTCTACACCTCCCCTCACCGGGGAGAGCGGAGCCCAGCGCTGGCAGCGTGGAAAGGCGCAGGGATTGGACGCGGTTTAGGAAGGGACGAGCCGGCGGCGTCCCGGGAGCCCCGTCAGCAGCGGCCAGCCCCGCCCCGGAGCGGGCAGGGAAAACAACGCCGTGTCCAAGTGTGGGGACGGGGCTGGCTCCCTGCGGGGAGTGCGGTTGTTCACCGTCGGCCTCAGCCGAAGGCGCGCTAGTACTTTTTGCTACTTATATTTAATGAAATCCAAGCTCTTTTTCTGATTTGGGTGGTGGCTCTGAAAAGAGCCTTTGGGTTTCTTTGGGAAGGACTCCCCGGGCGCTGCTCTTCGGAGGAGCTCACTTGGCTTTGGCCTTGTGGCTGTCGGTCTTCTTGGGCAGCAGCACGGCCTGGATGTTGGGCAGCACCCCGCCCTGCGCGATCGTCACCTTGCCCAGCAGCTTGTTGAGCTCCTCGTCGTTGCGGATGGCCAGCTGCAGGTGGCGGGGGATGATGCGCGTCTTCTTGTTGTCGCGGGCCGCGTTGCCCGCCAGCTCCAGGATCTCGGCCGTCAGGTACTCCAGCACGGCCGCCAGGTACACCGGGGCGCCGGCGCCCACCCGCTCCGCGTAGTTGCCCTTGCGCAGCAGCCGGTGCACGCGGCCCACGGGGAACTGCAGCCCGGCCCGCGACGAGCGCGACTTGGCCTTGGCCCGCGCCTTCCCGCCCTGCTTCCCGCGGCCGGACATCGCAACGACTCAGCAGCAACGAGTTGGAGCCGCAGAGAAATAAAGTCAGCGCCGCAACTCGGGCTTATATCCCTTCTCAGCCAAAGGCGCGCGTGTCGATAGGCCGAGAGCGGAGCGCTGCCAGAGCAGCCAATGGGGACGCGGATCGCATTCTGACCAACGGCGATGAGTTACGGGGAGCGACTAGCGGAAAAACTTCTCTCAGCCAATGAAATCTGAGACTTGGGGAAGCCTTAATTTGCATACGGTGTCTATAAAAGGAGGGCGCTCACGCTGACTCTGCATCCGCGATTGTCGGTTGTTCGGAGGAGGTGTGGTGAGAGCTTGAGTAAAATGCCTGAGCCGGCTAAGTCCGCCCCCGCGCCCAAGAAGGGCTCCAAGAAGGCCGTCACCAAGACGCAGAAAAAAGGTGACAAGAAAAGGCGCAAGAGCCGCAAGGAGAGCTACTCCATCTACGTGTACAAGGTGCTGAAGCAGGTGCACCCCGACACGGGCATCTCGTCCAAGGCCATGGGCATCATGAACTCCTTCGTCAACGACATCTTCGAGCGCATCGCCGGCGAGGCCTCGCGCCTGGCGCACTACAACAAGCGCTCCACCATCACCTCGCGGGAGATCCAGACGGCCGTGCGGCTCCTGCTGCCCGGCGAGCTGGCCAAGCACGCCGTCTCCGAGGGCACCAAGGCCGTCACCAAGTACACCAGCTCCAAGTAGAGCGGCTCCCAGCGCCGGTTTTATAACCCACCAACCCAAAGGCTCTTTTAAGAGCCACCCACCTTCTCAGTAAAAGAGCTGATGCTGCGGTGACTTGTGTGGATCTGTCCTGGGTTCTTCTCGGGAAAGGAGAAAGAATCGCGTGAAAGAGCTGTCACTTTACAGCGGGGTATGTGTGTGTTCGCGGTGAATGCTGTTACCTGTGTCTGTCCTGCCGGAGCAGAGAACGCGCACGTTTTGCTAAAATCACCCGGGATCTCGCTTTGCTTTGGCGTGCGGTTCGGGGCGGGGGTGTTACACAATAAACGAGCGGTGTGGTCGGTGTCTTTACATGCCTCAACCCGAGCTTGCTCTGGAGAGGCAACGCCTGCTCTTTCTCCCGGCGAGGCGCTCTAGAGGAAGGGGGCACACCGAAAGCACAGACGGCTCAAGGTGACCGTCTCCTTTTTAGTCTTCTCCAGCAAAAAGCTCCTAGCTCGACCTCGCTTCATCCCCCTCCCCAAACCCCCCTTCACCCATCGTGAACCGTTAACGTTCTCACGGGGGACCGGGGGAAGCACAGCAGAGTGCTGCACGGCGTTCTGGCCCTTGAACCGCACAGCCCCGCCTGTGCTCCCCAGCGCGGCTCAGCCCCGGCGCTCTGTCCCGGCCGGAAGAGCTTTTCCCCCCGGAGAGAGCTTCCCCCGCTTCTCCCTCCACCGGCCCGTTTCCCCGCGCCCCGAAAATCCTGCCTCCGTGGCGCGGGGGAGGCGCGGCTGCCGGGGTCGGTCGGTCGGACCTGATTGAGGACTGCACGGCGCTCCCCCGCAGGCGGGCGCGGCGCGGCTCCCGCGAGGGCGGCGATTGGTCGCGGCGGCGCTCGCGGCCCGTTCCCGTTCCCGCTTCACCGAGGCGCGCTCCGCCGAGGAGGGACGGGCCTGGAACCGGGGCCGGGGGTCCGCCAAGAAACCTTCGCCCCGGCTCTGCGCCGAGTGTGGTGCCGCCTGCGCCCGCCGCCTTCCTGCCGCGGCTCCGAACCCAACGCCGTTCCCGTGGGGGAGTGAACAGCGAGCGCCCGGGAGGGAGGGAGGGAGGGAGGCTGCTGAGCGAAGGAGCCTCAGCCGCCGGTCCGGATGGTGCGGGTTGGAGGGGGGGCGGGCTGGGAGGGGAGTCATGGGGACAGAGTCCTTTGGGTTGGAAGGGACTTCTAAAGGCCGTCTATCCCACCCCAAGAAGCAGCGATAGCGTCAACTAGATCAAGTTGCTCAGGGCTCCGTCCAGCCTGACCTTGAATTTCTCCAAGGATGGGACATCTGCCACCTCTCTGGGCAGCCTGTTTCAGCGTTTCACGGCCATCAGTTTAAAAAAAAACAAACCCAAACCCTTTTTTCCTGGTGTCTGGTCTAGAACTACACTGTTTGAGTTTAAACTCATTACCCTCTGTCCTAAAAAGCTCGCCCCGGTCTTTCTTATAAGCCCCTCAGGAAGCCAAGTCCGAGGCGTGGGCTGAGGGGGGGGGTGCCACACGGGTCACGCACGGCAGTTCCTGCTGCCTCCCTCGCCTTCCCGCCGCCCAAACCCAACTGTCCACGGGGACAGTCCGCCCGTACCGCTCCGGAGAACGCGAGGGAGCCGAGGCTAAAGCGGCCCGGAGAGGCAGGAAAGAGCAAGCGGCCGTGGCGGGAGGGGGGCGGGCGGGCCGGGCCGGTTTGCTAAAATCACCCGGGATCTCGCTTTGCTTTGGCGTGCGGTTCGGGGCGGGGGTGTTACACAATAAACGAGCGGTGTGGTCGGTGTCTTTACATGCCTCAACCCGAGCTTGCTCTGGAGAGGCAACGCCTGCTCTTTCTCCCGGCGAGGCGCTCTAGAGGAAGGGGGCACACCGAAAGCACAGACGGCTCAAGGTGACCGTCTCCTTTTTAGTCTTCTCCAGCAAAAAGCTCCTAGCTCGACCTCGCTTCATCCCCCTCCCCAAACCCCCCTTCACCCATCGTGAACCGTTAACGTTCTCACGGGGGACCGGGGGAAGCAAAGCAGAGTGCTCTACGGCGTTCTGGCCCTTGAACCGCACAGCCCCGCCTGTGCTCCCCAGCGCGGCTCAGCCCCGGCGCTCTGTCCCGGCCGGAAGAGCTTTTCCCCCCGGAGAGAGCTTCCCCCGCTTCTCCCTCCACCGGCCCGTTTCCCCGCGCCCCGAAAATCCTGCCTCCGTGGCGCGGGGGAGGCGCGGCTGCCGGGGTCGGTCGGTCGGACCTGATTGAGGACTGCACGGCGCTCCCCCGCAGGCGGGCGCGGCGCGGCTCCCGCGAGGGCGGCGATTGGTCGCGGCGGCGCTCGCGGCCCGTTCCCGTTCCCGCTTCACCGAGGCGCGCTCCGCCGAGGAGGGACGGGCCTGGAACCGGGGCGGGGGTCCGCCAAGAAACCTTCGCCCCGGCTCAATACAAATTTTGCTTTAAAGCAATTTTTAGCCTTGACAATTTACTCATTCAATATTCATGGAATTGTCAGTTGGAAGGGACCTCTAGAGATCATCTAGCCCAACTCCCCTGCTAAAGCAGGATTGCCCAGAGCACATCACTCAGGACTGCATCCAGGCGGGTCTTGAAAATCTCCAGAGAAGGGGACTCCGTGACCTCCCTGAGCAGCCTGTTCCAGGGTCTGTCACCCTCACCGTAAAGAAGTTCTTCCTCATATTTGAGTGGAGCTTCCTGTGTTCCAGCTTGTGCCCGTTGCCCCTCATCCTATCACTGGGAACCACTGAAAAGAGTCCAGCTTCATCATCCTTTAACCTACCATTTAGTACTTGTAAACATAGATAAGGTCTCTCCTCAGGGTTCTCTTCTCGAGGCTGAAGAGCCCCAGCTCGAGGCTCTGCACGGCCCGTCCCGTGCGGAGCGAGAGCGTCGGTGGCGATCGTGGAGCGATGGCGCGCACGAAGCAGACGGCGCGTAAGTCGACGGGCGGGAAGGCGCCCCGCAAGCAGCTGGCCACCAAGGCGGCCCGCAAGAGCGCGCCGGCCACGGGCGGCGTGAAGAAGCCGCACCGCTACCGGCCCGGCACGGTGGCGCTGCGCGAGATCCGGCGCTACCAGAAGTCGACGGAGCTGCTGATCCGCAAACCTGCCATCCACCGGGACTCCCAGACCCCTGGATATATATACTGGGTTTATAGAACCCTGTGAGTAGTGATGTGATTAAGTTCTCCAAAATGAACTATATCAATTTCTTCATTATTAATGATATAACGGGAACAGTATGAAGTTCACTTAAATTCAATAGTACAACAGCTCTTTTACTGTTAATGTGGTGGCTCTTAAAAGAGCCTTTGGGTCTGTGTGGGCTGCCTCGGTGTGTGCTGGAGCCAGGGAGGGGCAGCGTCGGGAGCCTCAGGCGCGCTCGCCGCGGAAGTGAACTTCATACTGTTCCCGTTATATCATTAATAATGAAGAAATTGATATAGTTCATTTTGGAGAACTTAATCACATCACTACTCACAGGGTTCTATAAACCCAGTATATATATCCAGGGGTCTGGGAGTCCCGGTGGATGGCAGGCTCTCTATGAGCCAGCAATGTGCCCTTGTTGCTAAGCGGGTCAAATAGGGAAGAGTGTGGCCAGCAAGTCGGGGGAGGTCATTCTCCCCCTCTGCTCTGCACTGGTGAGGCCACAACTGGAATACTGCGTCCAGTTCTGGGCTCCCCTGCTCAAGAGACAGGGAACTACTGGAGAGTCCAATTTAGAGCAACCAAGATGATTAAGGGATTGGAGCACCTCCCTTACGAGAAAAGGCTTAAAGAGCTGGGGCTCTTCAGCCTCGAGAAGAGAACCCTGAGGAGAGACCTTATCTATGTTTACAAGTACTAAATGGTAGGTTAAAGGATGATGAAGCTGGACTCTTTTCAGTGGTTCCCAGTGATAGGATGAGGGGCAACGGGCACAAGCTGGAACACAGGAAGCTCCACTCAAATATGAGGAAGAACTTCTTTACGGTGAGGGTGACAGACCCTGGAACAGGCTGCTCAGGGAGGTCACGGAGTCCCCTTCTCTGGAGATTTTCAAGACCCGCCTGGATGCAGTCCTGAGTGATGTGCTCTGGGCAATCCTGCTTTAGCAGGGGAGTTGGGCTAGATGATCTCTAGAGGTCCCTTCCAACTGACAATTCCATGAATATTGAATGAGTAAATTGTCAAGGCTAAAAATTGCTTTAAAGCAAAATTTGTATTGAGGGAATATATAAAGAACATGAATTAACATTACGATGCTATTAACAAATAAAAAAAAGTTAATGTTTGCATTTAATTTCATTAATTACTACGTTCTGAAACGTTAATGAAGCGCATTGACAGCTCTTTTATTGTGCATGTATTGGCTCTTAAAAGAGCCTTTGGGTTTAGCGGTAACAGGGCAGCGTCGGGAGCCTCAGGCGCGCTCGCCGCGGATGCGTCGGGCCAGCTGGATGTCCTTGGGCATGATGGTGACGCGCTTGGCGTGGATGGCGCAGAGGTTGGTGTCCTCGAAGAGCCCCACCAGGTAGGCCTCGCTGGCCTCCTGCAGCGCCATGACGGCCGAGCTCTGGAAGCGCAGGTCGGTCTTGAAGTCCTGCGCGATCTCGCGCACCAGGCGCTGGAAGGGCAGTTTGCGGATCAGCAGCTCCGTCGACTTCTGGTAGCGCCGGATCTCGCGCAGCGCCACCGTGCCGGGCCGGTAGCGGTGCGGCTTCTTCACGCCGCCCGTGGCCGGCGCGCTCTTGCGGGCCGCCTTGGTGGCCAGCTGCTTGCCCGCGGGCCGCTCGGAGGCAGGATTTTCGGGGCGCGGGGAAACGGGCCGGTGGAGGGAGAAGCGGGCCCGACCGGGACAGAGCGCCGGGGCTGAGCCGCGCTGGGGAGCACAGGCGGGGCTGTGCGGTTCAAGGGCCAGAACGCCGTAGAGCACTCTGCTTTGCTTCCCCCGGTCCCCCGTGAGAACGTTAACGGTTCACGATGGGTGAAGGGGGGTTTGGGGAGGGGGATGAAGCGAGGTCGAGCTAGGAGCTTTTTGCTGGAGAAGACTAAAAAGGAGACGGTCACCTTGAGCCGTCTGTGCTTTCGGTGTGCCCCCTTCCTCTAGAGCGCCTCGCCGGGAGAAAGAGCAGGCGTTGCCTCTCCAGAGCAAGCTCGGGTTGAGGCATGTAAAGACACCGACCACACCGCTCGTTTATTGTGTAACACCCCCGCCCCGAACCGCACGCCAAAGCAAAGCGGGATCCCGGGGGGATTTTAGCGAAACGTGCGCGTTCTCTGCTCCGGCAGGACAGACACAGGTAACAGCATTCACCGCGAACACACACATACCCCGCTGTAAAGTGACAGCTCTTTCATGCGATTCTTTCTCCTTTCCCGAGAAGAACCCAGGACAGATCCACACAAGTCACCGCAGCATCAGCTCTTTTACTGAGAAGGTGGGTGGCTCTTAAAAGAGCCTTTGGGTTGGTGGGTTATAAAACCGGCGCTGGGAGCCGCTCTACTTGGAGCTGGTGTACTTGGTGACGGCCTTGGTGCCCTCGGAGACGGCGTGCTTGGCCAGCTCGCCGGGCAGCAGGAGCCGCACGGCCGTCTGGATCTCCCGCGAGGTGATGGTGGAGCGCTTGTTGTAGTGCGCCAGGCGCGAGGCCTCGCCGGCGATGCGCTCGAAGATGTCGTTGACGAAGGAGTTCATGATGCCCATGGCCTTGGACGAGATGCCCGTGTCGGGGTGCACCTGCTTCAGCACCTTGTACACGTAGATGGAGTAGCTCTCCTTGCGGCTCTTCCGCCTTTTCTTGTCACCTTTTTTCTGCGTCTTGGTGACGGCCTTCTTGGAGCCCTTCTTGGGCGCGGGGGCGGACTTAGCCGGCTCAGGCATTTTACTCAAGCTCTCACCACACCTCCTCCGAACAACCGACAATCGCGGATGCAGAGTCAGCGTGAGCGCCCTCCTTTTATAGACACCGTATGCAAATTAAGGCTTCCCCAAGTCTCAGATTTCATTGGCTGAGAGAAGTTTTTCCGCTAGTCGCTCCCCGTAACTCATCGCCGTTGGTCAGAATGCGATCCGCGTCCCCATTGGCTGCTCTGGCAGCGCTCCGCTCTCGGCCTATCGACACGCGCGCCTTTGGCTGAGAAGGGATATAAGCCCGAGTTGCGGCGCTGACTTTATTTCTCTGCGGCTCCAACTCGTTGCTGCTGAGTCGTTGCGATGTCCGGCCGCGGGAAGCAGGGCGGGAAGGCGCGGGCCAAGGCCAAGTCGCGCTCGTCGCGGGCCGGGCTGCAGTTCCCCGTGGGCCGCGTGCACCGGCTGCTGCGCAAGGGCAACTACGCGGAGCGGGTGGGCGCCGGCGCCCCGGTGTACCTGGCGGCCGTGCTGGAGTACCTGACGGCCGAGATCCTGGAGCTGGCGGGCAACGCGGCCCGCGACAACAACCTGGAATCCCTAACCTCACAAAATGGGAACTCGTACACTGTACGAACCGAAGTCGACTTCGCGGGAGCCCCCTTTATACCGGCGCTGCCCAAAGCAGCGGCTCCACAGCGCCGCATCCCCATTGGGTGGAAGTTCTGCCGTAGAACGTCACGACCCGCTAAGCTTTGCTATTGGACGCTTCTCGATTCGCGCGCCCATTGGCCGAGGAAACAGCGCCTCCCTCACAGCCAATCAGCGACCGCGCCACCGCTCCGCCCGAGCAGGATATAAAGAGGCTGGAGGGCGCTGCCGGGATCAGGTCGTTTGAGAGGAGCGGGACAGCGTTTTGTGTTGCTGCCGAGTCGTTGCGATGTCCGGCCGCGGGAAGCAGGGCGGGAAGGCGCGGGCCAAGGCCAAGTCGCGCTCGTCGCGGGCCGGGCTGCAGTTCCCCGTGGGCCGCGTGCACCGGCTGCTGCGCAAGGGCAACTACGCGGAGCGGGTGGGCGCCGGCGCCCCGGTGTACCTGGCGGCCGTGCTGGAGTACCTGACGGCCGAGATCCTGGAGCTGGCGGGCAACGCGGCCCGCGACAACAAGAAGACGCGCATCATCCCCCGCCACCTGCAGCTGGCCATCCGCAACGACGAGGAGCTCAACAAGCTGCTGGGCAAGGTGACGATCGCGCAGGGCGGGGTGCTGCCCAACATCCAGGCCGTGCTGCTGCCCAAGAAGACCGACAGCCACAAGGCCAAAGCCAAGTGAGCTCCTCCGAAGAACAGCGCTCTTTCCCAAAAAAACCCAAAGGCTCTTTTCAGAGCCACCCACTACATCACTGAAGAGCTGAAATGCTTTAAGTGACCTTGGAAACTTAAACACTGATAGTATTGTGTTTTTTGCTGAGCAACAAGAGTTGCAGCTGAAGTATTCTTTTTTTATAGTTATGTGTCAAAATGTTCAGGGCAGATTAGTATTTTTGATTTTGAGTGAATTATATCTGAAGCCGAAGCTTTTTGTGATTTTAAGTTCTACAGTTCTTTAAAGTGCAAAATAAATCTCTACCTTATCTTTCTGCCGAGGCGAGCACTCTGGGATGACAGCGACCAGAAGCCCTCCCCGCCCCTCCGCCTCCCACGTAGCCGCACACGCAGATGGGGAAAGGAAAGCGTTAAGCACTGGCTACAAGGCTCTGTTCTAAAAATAAATAACTAAAGTAATAAGTTACAAGTCCCTAAGTACTTACGTCGTCTCGAAGCAAAACTCGCTCTCGAAGGAGTGAACCATTTCCCTGAAGTGGTGACGTTCTCCCCGCGGTCACAGGTGCCAGCTTCATGAAATCCTGTATGGAATAGATTTGAAAGCTCTAGAACAATTTCTACCATTTATCCACAATACATATATTTAAAAAAAAAAAACACCCCAATTTATTTCATCTCTTTTTGAGAAAAGGTGGGTGGCTCTTAAAAGAGCCGTTGGGTTTAAGCGCAGAGCAAGAGTTTTCTCCCCCGGGGGTCTACTTCTTCTTGGGCGCCGCCTTCTTCGCCTTGGCCGCTTTGGGCTTGGCCGCCTTGGGCTTGGCTGCTTTGGGCTTCACCGCCTTCGCTTTCGCCGGGCTCTTGGCCGCTGCCGCCTTCTTGGGCTTGGCAGCCTTGGTCGCCTTCTTGGGGCTCTTGGCCGCTTTCTTGGCCGCGGCGGCCGCCGGCTTCTTGGCTTTCTTGGGGCTCTTCTTCGCTGTCACCGCCTTCTTGGGCTTCTTGGCGGCGCTGGCGGGCTTCTTGGCCGCCGGCTTCTTGGGCTTGGCCGCGGTCGCCCGCTTCTTAGGAGCCTTCTCCTTCACTTCTCCGGGCTTCTTGCTGAGGCGGAAAGAGCCGGAGGCGCCGGTGCCCTTGGTCTGCACCAGGGTGCCCTTGCTGACCAGGCTCTTGAGCCCCAGCTTGATGCGGCTGTTGTTCTTCTCCACATCGTAGCCGCCGGCGGCCAGCGCCTTCTTGAGGGCGGCGAGGGAGAGCCCCTTGCGCTCCTTGGAGGCGGAGACGGCCTTGGTGATCAGCTCGGTGACGCTGGGGCCGGCGGGTTTGCGGGCTTTGGCGGCGCCCGCCGCCTTCTTCGGCTTCTTGGCGGCGGCCTTGGCGGCGGGGGCCGGGGCGGCGGCGGGCGCTGCCTCAGCAGCGGGTGCGGGAGCGGTCTCGGACATGTCGGTGCTGCGCGGGGCAGAGCGCGGCGGCTGCAGCGGCGTCGGCGGCGCCCCCATTTATAGCAGCGCGGCGGGCGCTGATTGGTGCGTTGCCGAGCCCGCCCCGCCCCTCCTCCCGGCGCTCTGCCGCTCGGCTTGTGTTTCTTCCTCCACAAAAAAGTATGTTTTTCGGAAAAAAAACGTGACCACGGCACCCCGTTTCTTAGCAGCGGTGCCGGGGACAGAGCGTATTTTTGTCTTTCGGCGTTTCTTTTCGCTGAGAGTGAAAATGAGCTTCAGGCAAGCCGATAATCCCTGCGTTTGGGGATTGCACGCCGAGCTGGATCCTGAGATTTTTATTTTTCCTTTTGAATTAAAAATTTCCTTGTAACAGCACTGTCCCAGTGACAGCGGATTCGTGTTCCTGAGACGGTTTTTCATGAAGGTAGTGCAAAACGGAGGTAATGTCGAGACCCTTTCTTAGCGGAAATTAGCTTTGAAAAGAAGCAAGTAACACAAAGTAGCCGCTCTCTATCTGGGTTATGGTTTGTTTCCCGTAATACGGCTTCATCTCTTAAAAATAATGAAACCTTTGGACATAGTGGCCTCTTTAGCTCTACTCGGAGCTAATCAACAGTAAAAGAAAGACAGCTTTCACTAGAAACTTTTACGTGAAAAACATCTCCCTCAATTCGGCAGGTTCTTTCAACATCTCATAAGAACACAGAGAAGTTCTTTCCCTGCTTCCCTCAATTCTCTGCGCGCTTCTCTTAATACTTCAGTGAACTATATTCACATATTTTTCTCCAAAATATTTTTTTTTTCCAAGCCCAATAGTTTAACACATTGATTTGTATGTTCTTATTTTAAGAGAGTGTTTATTTTAGTGCTTACATTTACACTGTACTTCAGGCATTTTGTTAGCCATGATCAGCAGTTGTGCAAAAAAAAAGGGAAAAAAAATATTGTTTGCATGTTTTCTTTATGGAAAATTATATAAATTTATAAAATTATATAAAATTATAAAAAATTAAATATAAATTCTTTAATAAAATAATATCAATCAAGGGGCTTAATAAAACAATTATGTCCTCAGAGCTGCCAAGAGAAACTAGGGCATGACTTTTTCCAACCCATGAGTTTTTGTAATGTGACATAAACTAAAAACACATAAAATAATTTTTTCCTGGGATTAGTTGGACAGAGGAATGTCATGTTCAAAAATACGTAGTACAATATGGGAAAGGAGACCCTGGTGATTGTTTCATATTATTGAAAATGCAGTCGTTTGGCTTCTTTCATTATTTTTTTTTTTTTGATCATATAATATTTCACACCATCTTGTGGAGTTTTTGTGACGAGGGAGTCAGCTTTAAAGAGCTTGTCAGCGGTGCTGGTTTACCATGACTAAGGTGCACCTAAAGTGTGAGAAACTGCCAAGAGATGTGGCAGCATTTCGGATGGGTTTTTGTCTAGAGAAGACAAGCAGCATAATAACATAACAACATAACATGCAAGAGTATAAATCCTGAGGACAATGTGAATTTGGAGCCAACAGCTAAATTTTATGGTAGTTTCACCTGCTGACCCCACTGTGGATTGTGGGTTGTGAACTACATTGTCACAGAAGTGAATCTGTTGGGAAAGACACGCACCATTGAGGAGAAATTTCTGGGGATTAGTTCTGTAGCATACATATTTCCTTCAAATTCTGCATCTTACTCCCTTCTATTCACACCTATCAGAGTCAGTCCACCGGTAGCTTTAACTTTAAATTCTTTTCATCCTCCGTGAATGTATTTTCCTGGGTTTAGGCTAGGCCTCTATCATTCTTCTAAACACCTTCTGTAGCAGCACAATCCTAAAGTAGTCTGTATGTGCTCCTAAATGCGCCTTTTTCTGGTGCTCCAATATTTTGACAATATATCTGGACTTTTTATTTTTTGGTTTGTGGTTTTTGTTTGTTTTTTTTTAAATCATAGACAGTTTTAGGTTCAGCAAAAGCAGGAAATGCAAAGAGATCTTGCAAATGTTGTCAGGTGGAGGAGAGGAAGGAAAAATAATCTTTCAAGTTCCCTTTAGTTCCTTCAATTTAATGGGCAACCTTATTTTAAAAAAGTAATACTTATTTCAAAGATTATTTTAACCTTTTTTTTTTCTGATAGGAATCTTTGTAAAACGATGTATTCAATAAAAGACAGAATTACTTCCACTTCCTCTTTTTCCCTGAAAATAATAGCCAAAGAAATAGAACATTTATTAAAATAAAAAAGTTTTGTGCGAAGGTAGAAGGTAGTGCTCACGGTAGACCGTGATGTTTGGACATGACAGAACTTTCTCAGAACTTCAGGCAGAAATACAAGGACCCATTTTTCTCCTGATGTTGGATAAATGCTTTCATGAAGGTTCTTTTGAGCCTGAGTGACTGTAGAATCATAGAATGTTTTGAGTCAGAAGGAACACACAGAGATCCTGCAGTCCAACCACCCTGCCACGGGCAGAGACATCTTCCACTAGATCGAGTTGCTCAAAACCCCATCCAATCTGACCTTGAACACTTCCGATGATGGAGCATCCACAGCTTATCTGGGCAACATGTTCCTGTATCCCACCACCCTCATTGTAAAAAATATCTTTCGTATGTCCCATCTAAATCTAACCTCTTTCAGTTTTAACTGTTGCTTTTTGTCCTGTCACTACAGGCCCTGGTGAAAAATCTCCATCTTTCTTATAAGAAATTATCTATTATATTATTATTTATTATTATTATATTATTATTATTAATTATTATTATATACTTTATATATTGATAGGCCGCAATAAGGTCACACAACACCATTCTTTACTGTGATGCTTTCTGATTTACACAGAAATTCTTTACTATGAGGGTGGTGAAGCACTGGCACAGGTTGCCCAGGGACGTTGTGGATGCCCCATCCCTGGAAGTGTTTAAGGCCAGACTGGATGGGGCTTTGAGCAACCTGCTCTAGTGAAGGTGTCCCTGCCCACGGCAGGGGGGTTGGATCTCTAAGGTCCCTCCCACCTCTAACCATTCTATGATTCTACGATTCTCTTCTCCAGGCTGAACAATCCCAAGTCTCTCTGTCTTTCTTCACGGGAGAGGTATTCCAGTCCTCTGATCATTTTTGTCGTCCTCCTATGGACCCACTCTACCAGTCCACATCTTCCTTGTGCTGAGGACCCCAGATCTGACTGCAATACGCCAGGTGGAGTCTCATGAGAGCAGAGCAGAAGGGGAGAATTAACTCCCTCGATCTGCTGGCCATGCTTCTTTTGATGCAGCCCAGGATATGCTTGGCTTTCTGGGCTGCAAGTGCACATTGCCAGCTCATATCCAATTTTTAATTCACTACTATGCCCAAATTCTTCTCTGCAGAACTGCTCTTAACTAACTCATCCCCCAGTCTGTACTGGTATTGGAGATGGCGCCAACCCAGGTGCAGAACCTTGCACTTGGCCTTGTTAAACTTCATGATGTTCATATGGGCCCACCCCTCAAGCCTGTAAAAGTCCCTCTGGATGGCATCCCTTCCCTCTGGTATATCAACTGCTCCACTAAGCTTGGTATCATACTCAAACTTGCCGAGGGTGCACTCAGTCCCACTATCTATGTCATTAATGAAGGTGTTAAATAGTATTGGTTCCAGTATGGACCTGTAAGGGAAACCACTTGTTACTGGTTTGCACTTGAATATTGAGCCATTGGCTGTAACTTTTTGCATGCAGCCAGCCAGCTAATTCCTTATCCATTTTATAGTCCATCCATCAAGTCCATAGCTCCCAGTCACCTCCCTGTCTTCCATATGCTTCGACGTGGCTTCCAGGAGGATCTGTTCCAGGATCTTACCAATTACAAAGGTAAGGCTAACTGATCGGTAGTTCCTGGGACTCTCCTTTTTATCCTTTTTAAAAAAATGGGTGTGATATTCCCTTTACTCCAGTCACTGGGGATTTCACCTGACTGCTGTGACTTTTCAAATATGATGGAGAATGGCTTAGCAACCGCATCTGCTGGCTCCCTCGGGACCCTGCATGCGTCTTGCCAAGTCCCATGGACTTGTATATGTTCAGGTTCCTCAGATGATCTTCTCCTATGATGGGAGGGACTTTGTTCCCCCCATCCCTCCCTTGAGGTTCAAGGACTTGAGAGGTGTGGGTGGGTAGAGAGATTGCCAGTGAAAACTAAGGCAAAAAAATTGTTGAGTACCTCAGCTTTCTCTGTATCAGTTGTCATTAGTTTTCGTGTCTTATTGGGGGCCTCATTTTCTCTAGTCTTCCCTTTCTGATCAACGTACCTGCAGAAGCCCTTGTTATTATTCTTCACATCCCCTGCCAAATTTAGCACCAAATATGCCTTAGCTTTCCTGATCCCATCCCTACATGAGTGAACAGCATCCATATATTCTTCCCAGGATGCATGTCCCTGCTTCCACTACCTATGCATTTCCTTCTTGCACTTCAATTCAACCAGAACTCATTCAGCCAGACTGGTCTCCTGCCTTCCTTGCTTGATTTCTTACACGTGGGAATTGAGAAGATTTGTTCTCTAAGAAAAATGTCCTTAAATAGCTGCTGTCTCTGTTCTGCTCCTTTATCCCTGAGGGCAGTTTCCCAGGGGTCCCTTTGTTGTAGAGGCTTGCAAAATCAAATTTTCACAAGTCATAAATTCAAAATAAACTTTATTCTAACCAAAATTGCTTAATGGAGAACTAACTTGAAATTAGGTGTATCAAAATTGTTTAACACTCCAACAGCGTTAGTAAACCACAGGTTTAGAATGTATGAGGAAATTAATACTGCATGACTTAAGACTTTCTTAAGCTTTAGAAACGATGATTCAAAATGTGCACAATCACGCACTGACAAAACAAGGGCTCTCACCCTGTACAGGAGATGAACCATGGAGTGATATCCCAGCCAACGGGGAGAGTCCCCGACCACAG